AAATCTGGAACTGGGCAGAGTGAATGCTCAGTAACAGGAATTAACACCACTGCGTTCCTTCTGGACAAAACAGTCCCAGTTTCCTCATCTGTAAAATGGGATAACACTTCCTACTATAAAGCAATGCCGAAAGAATTAAACACGATTAAAGCCAGGCCCTGGCACATAGTAGACACTCAGTAAATAGTTACTGAATGAATGAGCCAATAAATGAATGAACTGGCCCAAGATTCCTTCCCTCACCCTGTTTTTGGGCCGCTGCCTACTCTCTGACCTCAAGATGCCCTAGTTCTCTGTTGGCGGTCACCAGCCTGCCCATCCCCCCGCCCTGGTGCTAGATAGCGCCTTCCCTGCCCCCACTCTCCCAGTTATGTAACCTGCAGTCTGGCCCCCTCAGCACCCTCATTATATAACTTCCTCGTGGCTGCCACTGCCGCCTCCTCATACCGAGCCCTGGGTCCCACCCCCACCACGCCAGGCATAGCCAAATGCTCATTTGCATGACCAGGGTAAATTCGATCCTGGCAGCAGATCTGCAGTTAAGTCAGAATCCCCAGGGCACCGTGGCAACTGCCTCTCAGCCCAGTCATCAGGGCTGCTGGGGGCTCTGGGAAGGACCATACTACATCTGGGGACTGCAAAGGCCACCCAACTTTGCAACAGGAGCTGCCAGAAAGGTTGCCTGGGGTGAGCCCCTCTGACCCCAGCTGCTACTCCTGTTCATGGGCCCTGAGCTGTGAGGCCCCTGCCTGGTACAGGGCTTCGCATCCCAGAGAGCTTGAGAAGTATACAGTTGAACTCAGCAGCCCACGGAACAGGAGTGCGCCGAAGAGCAGGCCTGGGACTCAGACCTCTGACTCCCTACTCCGGGCCTCAAAGGGCAAAGAACAGAACCATCGGACCCAACCCAACCTGCAGCTGCTTCTCCCCTGGCCGCCTCACCTGAGCCAGGCTGCCCATCCCTTCTGCTTCCCTGAGAGGGAAATGGCCTCAGGGAAGACCTACTACGGTACAAGCCAAAGGGCTCCCAGAGGAGAGGGAATGCGAGGTTAAATGGTACCCGAGGTTAAATGGTACCCGGCTCCACCCCAAGGAAACCTGTGTAATCCCCGCTGAATGAGCCAGGCATTCCACAACAGGGACAAGAACACCAAGAAGTTGTGCCTCTGGCCCCACCCCCACCCCTGTGTCCCAAAGCCCACAGGCTGCACAGGTCCCTGCCCCAAGCCCTTCCAAGAAGCCCCAGGGACACAGGTCCTGCTAGGAGCTTAGATGCCAATGGCTGCAGAATAGGCCTACAAGGGCTGGGAGAAGGGGAAGGACAAAATGGCAGAGAGGGAAAAGGGGGAGGGGAAGCAAGGAGGCAGGAAAGAGGAAAGGGCCAGGCTGGCCAAGACCAGCAGGGCAGCAAGGCCCAGCAGTGGCCACCCTGCTTCCTGGCAGCGTCTGCCTGTGACCTCATGGGCAGGGGTGTGGGGACGGAGAGGCAGGGGGAGAGGGGCATGCAAGACACTGGAGTCTTTGTTTATTTGATTAGAGGGAAAAAAAAAGGCGGCCTCAGGACCAGACAGCCTGGGTCATGTGACCTCCTGCAGGCTGGAGGCCTCACTGAGGATGGGAACACCCAGGGTGACAGGAAAGGAGGGTGAGAGATGCGGGAATGTGGTGCTCGGGCCAGGTCCACCATCTGGCCTCTGGGGAGCCCTCACTGTGAGTTCCTGGGGGTTCTGAGGGTCAGGGGCCCTTGAACTGGAACCAGAGTGGCTGTCCCACCCCGTAATACCCACCACTTGCTCCACAACCCTGGCTCCAGTTTGATTGTCCTGTTCCCAGAGCCAACCTGAACTCTTGCAGGGTGGGGAGACAGCAGGGAGGGTATTGGCTGAAGCAGCTGAGAACGCAGCTGCACAAACAGGCCTCTCTGAAGGTGATGACCCCCCTAATCCACCACCAGGAGGTGGCCCACAGAATAGCACTCGCACAGGACTGACAGGCAAGGCCCCTGAGCCCCACATCCACATAAGCGCACTAAAGAGACACACACCTGGACAGACCCATGCCAGGCGAATGCTCACCTGCATGTAAAGAGGTGCACACACAAGGGCCAGACAGCCCGGCAGAAACCGTCACATATAATGCACTTTGCATCTCTCTCAAACTCACATGCACATACTCAGCGCCCACTCAGACAGAAAGTAGGTCTCCAGGACTGAGGGGGGGGTCTAGGGCCTGAAAAACCAAAATGTGACTCTCCTTGTCCTCAAAGAGCCCTAAGCAGCAGATGTCAAGTGAAACCTAGGCCCAGCCCCAGGAACCCGCATGACACTATAAACCTGCCCCTACCCTGGGGCACTTCTTCCAGTTCCCTAATATCAGAGCCCCATAGCCCCCTCCACTGCTGTCTCAGTTGCTTCCCTGTCCCCATCCCCCGCAGAGCAGGGCAAAAGGTCAATGAGCAAAGCATCATGGTATTCCCCAGGGTCCACAGAGGACAAGCTCCAGGCCCCTAAAGCTGGGGGAGAAACAGAATGGCCTCCAGCAGGCCCAGACCAGACCTGCTCCCCAACCCCTGGCCTCTGTGACTCAGCCCTACTCTGAAAGGCTCTGCATGACGTGCAGAGGCGTGGCCCAGCTGCAGATGGGCGCGAGCTGGCGAGAGGTGCTGTACACGCCAGCCTCAAAGCTGAACTCCCTCCTGACATCTGTGAAGCTACATCATGTGTCAACACCCACCAGACTCCCTGCCAGAGAAATGTGGTGCAAACAGCGAACTTCATATGCATATACAACACATCTCAGGAAAGGAATCTCTTAAGCAAGAGCCCTCCCCCAGCTACAGCCAAGAAAGGAAAGTCCAAGGGGAGAAGAGCTGGGGCTGCAGGCCTCCCAAGGGGGCAGGAGGGGTGGCCCACCCAGGAAGGCCTGGGATGAAGAGGAGGCCACACCCTCCTCTCTACCCCAGGCTATGTCAGGGTGCCAGAGGCCTGGTGGGGTGGAGACCTCATCCCTAGTCCTCCTGCCTCAGCCCAGGGCCTCCCCCAGAGTGTGGGGTAGGGCCAAGAGCCCCGCCTCCCAAAGGCTACCATAGAGCTACAGCCTGAGATGGAGGCCCCAAGGCTGGGAGGGAGAGGAGGGCACAGCTCTCTCAGCAGAGCCCTAAGTGTATCTCTTGTCAACCAGGGGCTGAGGAGACTCCAACACCAAATGAGTAAAACGTCCAACTATGGTGGCCGCTGGGTTTAAGCCTCAGCCATGCTCAACGGAAAACCTGCAGGCTTCTTCAAGGGGCCCAGCCTGCCTTAGACCTCCAGGGGCTGACCTCCCACACAGACCCTGGCCTGGATGGAGGTCAGGCAGCAGCAGGCATCTCCCTACCTTGTTCCCTGGCGACCGAAGCAGGATAAAGCGGTGTTTCCGCTTGAGGAGGGCACGAAGGTCCTGGCACCTCTCATAGCTGCCCAGCTCCACCGTCTCTACACAGTTCTGCTCATCCTGGGGAGGGAGACAGAGGGGACACGAGCTGGTGAGAGGCAGACCCCACAACCCTCAAGCACGCAGGCCACCCCCAGACCCTGATCCTACTCAGTGAAGACATCACGTGGTCAGAGGGAGGACCTCAGGCCGTCAATCAATCACCAAGATGTGGCACTCAGACTCTGGTAAGTGCGTGCTGGCTGCAGGGTCACCTGCAAGGCTCACCATCTGGATGGGGAAGGGGACACACAGCCCAGAGGGGGTATGTGACTAAGGCCAGAGGAGGAAAGAGAGAGGAAGCTAGAGAGGCTTAGAAAAGGGTGCCAAAGGTGCCTGGGGGTCCATGCAGGCCCAGAGGCCAGGCAGAGATCTGTGGAAGAGATAGCCTGGAAGAGGGATGCAGGATGTCACCAAATGGGGGGGGGGGAAAGACTTTGCAGGAAGAGCCACAGAGGGAAGCATGATGAATGATGAACAAGGCACATGTGATCCTGAGCTGGTACTCTCACCTGGCTCCTACCTCTGCTGACCCTTGGCTTGGGACAGCAGCCCCTCACCCCAGGCTGCAGGCTATGCACAATGGAGGGGACAATGTTCCTTTAAGAGCAGCCCACTCCTACAGCCTGCACCCCGAGGCTTCATCATTAGCAGGGCCAGTGGCCAGGACAGTGCCCAGCCTCTTCCAGGTCATCCCTGGACACCGGCCAGGCTGCCTTCCTGCCAACCAACACTGGAGTGTTTTCTCCACGGGCTCTACCCATCAGGTGTCTCTTGGGCAAGCTGCCTATGACAAGCTCCTCCCTCAATGGCCATCAGGGGATCCCCTCCCAGCAGAGACCCAGTTGGAACAACTTCCTGGGTGTGGCACATTTTCATCCTGGAGAGTCCAGGGAAGCAGAATCTGGCCCTTTGAGTGGTGGGGGAGAGGGGGTAGGAAGGGACACTCCCCTGGAGACTGGTCAACAAGTTAAGGAAACTCTTGCTGATGTCCAACAGCAAGAAACCTGACACTTGGTGAGCACTTTGGCGTCCCTGATTCTCCTGACCTCACAGTAACCCTGAGAGCCTGGAGCCCCAGTATCTGCTTCCTTTTAGAGATGGAGAGAATGAGGCCCGGAGGCGACGTGATTTGCTGTAGGGCCACAGACCCAAATACAAGGGGCAGGGCCCAACTCAAACCATATCCTCTGACTCTCAGGCCAGGGCGCTTTCCAACACACCACACTCCTCCCAGAGCCGGCTGGTCAGTGCCTTAGCGATAGGTTGCTCTACACGAGCGGTCTTCCAGTGTGGGACCCGGGCCAGCAGCATCAGCACCGCCTGAGAACTTGTTAGAAATGCAAGTTTTGGGGCCTCAGCCCTACTGAGTCATAAACTCAGGGGAATGGGCCTGGCAATCCGAGTTTTAATTAGCCCTCCAGGTGATTCCGACATACGTGAAGCTTTGAAAATCACTGCTCTAACCGGAGCTTCTCAACCTTGGTGGCACCTGGGAGCTTTTAAAAACCCCAGTGCCCAGCAACACCCCAGACCAATTGTACCAGGATCTCTGGGGATGAGGCCCAGACCTCAGGATTTTCTTTTTTTTTTTTTTGAGACAGAGTGTCACTCTGTTGCCCGGGCTAGAGTGCCGTGGCATCATCCTAGCTCACAGCAACCTCAAACTCCTGGCCTCAAGCGATCCTCCTGCCTCAGCCTCCCGAGTAGCTGGGACTACAGGCACGCGCCACCATGCCCGGCTAATTTTTTCTATATATTTTTAGTTGTTCAATTAATTTCTTTCTATTTTTGGTAGAGACGGGGTCTCGCTCTTGCTCAGGCTGGTCTCGAACTCCTGAGCTCAAACAATCCGCCTGCCTTGGCCTCCCAGAGTGCTAGGATTACAGGCATGAGCCACCGCGCCCGGCCCCTCAGAATTTTTTTAAAGCAGACAATTGTACAGCCTAAGTGGAAAACCACTGAGCTACTCTCCTCAGCCTCTCAGGGAAAAGGAGACAGATAGCCAGGGTGGCCTTGTCACTCCCATCCACGCTCAGTCAGGTGTCTCTTTCCAGTCCCTAGTCTCCAGTCCCTTCCATGTTCCTCCATTAAACATAAGGGCCAAAAAAGTCCTCCTGCTCTGAGAAGCTCCCCATCCCCCACCATAAACCCCTGAGCCTGGGTGCTCTCTCTCCTCTGAAGCCCCTGCCACTTACTGCTGGGGACATGCAAACTTCTACACGGCACTGCCAGGTGCAGGCACCCCATGAGGTTGCTAGGGGCACATGGGAAAGCACAGTCCCAACTCCTGTGTGGCCATCTCTCTCCCCTGTTCTCCGTGTCTGCTCTCCTTTCTGTTTCCTCCACAGCAACTTTCAAGAAGGAGCCCTCGAGAGGGACGTACGTAGGACCAGTTTGCTGCAATGAGTTCATGGCCCAGACTGAGACCAGTCTCCTCCTCCCTGGACATCCAGAGGAGGGGAGCTGCCTGAGGAAGGATCCCTACTCCAGCGAGAGCAGCTCACCTGCCCCATGTCCACAGGCCTCCCCCAGCTGGACAACCAGCGGCCAAAATGCACTCTCCCTCCTCTGCCTGGGAAAAAAACGTCAGTCCACCTCCACCACCCGGCTCCCCGCAGCTGCCTGTCCTGGGTCTCCTCTCCACCCCAGGCCGCTGAATCATCCCAGCCCTTTTGCAGCTCAGAAAAAGGGATAAACCAGCAGGCACTGGGCGGGGGCAGCATCCATGGAATGTCAGCCTTTCTGACAGCGAGGAAACAGCCAAGAGCCGTTCACACTCGCCTAGTTCCTTACATCAGAAAAAGGAATTGAGCTAATAAGCATTTCTCAATTCCTACTCCTGGGCCAGGCTCCCCCACCCCCGAGTGCTAAGTTCTTGAAATTGCATTTAAGTTTTTAATAGTGATTTTTTTTTTAAAGCGTGATTTGGATTTGTCATGTTTGGGGGATGTGAAATCTTCCTGCTTCCCAGCCATGGCCAGATGTGGAGAGGCGGTCCAGGACAAGTCTGGCAGTGCCTGAAGGGCTGACAGCTGAGAGCCTGTCACTCAACTCTTGCTGCTGCTGGCTCTGGAGGAAGCTGTGACAACCCCCTTTATTGATAAAAATATCCCTTGCTGCCACATTCCTCGCTGGCACATCCCGATTTGGTGAGAGCAGCAGTAGAGAACACCGACGGGGGCTGTCTGCCCACCCTCATCTCTTTGCCCTCCTCCCACTGCTTCCCTGACACCCCAACTCCACGAGCCAGAGACTCAGGCAGGACAGGCAAGGTGCTTCTCAAAGGCAGCTGCTTTAATCACCTGGATCCAGGATGCCCAGTCTTTCTTGGCCTGGGACAATGATGAATTTGCCAAGATATCCTGAGGCAGGCTGAGAGAGGCTGATGAGGAAGGGAGGCTGCCCCTTCCTCTGCTCCCAAGCCAGTTCTTCCCCGCGCATTTCATCTGCCAAAGACGCGTAGAGATGCCCCGTTTTCAGTGGACAGGCCCTGTGATAGCCTCACACCCAGAACACAAACCGCATCTGCAAGGAGAAACCACCTTTCCTCAAGTCTTCACCTACAGCTTTATTGACTCTTATTTAACACACAATTTTAGCAACCTTAGTTGTGCAAATACCGAGCCTGCCTGAAACTAGAACAGGAACAAAAGTTTGAAGTGGAAAGGTGTGAGGGCTGTTAGAGGCACAAGGACAGCAGAAATGGCAACCAGCAGCTGGATGTTAAAGGAGAAAGAAAGGCTGAAAAGTACAGTCTGGCAGTACCAAACAGTCCGACAAGTGACTGAGCTACCAGGGAGAGATTCAGTTGAGGCCAGCACCTTCTGTTGAAGAAGGCAGAGAATATTTAACATATTTTAGAGAATTTCTACCAAAAATAAGTTTTAGAGTTTATTTGCTGGTGTCTCTTGGTGGAAAGAGCACTGGACTTGTTTCTAGGCCTAACTCCTCCGCTCACTGTGAAATGCTGAGCAGTCATTTTGCCACCCTAAGCCCCAGTATGCTCGTCTATAAAATGCAACATCATGACCACTCTCATGGGACTATTCCATCATAAGGGACATATGTAAGAGCCCCAAATAAGTATGAGTGCTAAGGCCTGACACGATGGCTCACGCCTGTAATCCCAGCACTTTGGGAGGCCAAGGCAGGGGGATCGCTTGAGGCCAGGAGTTTGACACCAGCCTGAGCAACAGCAAGACCCCGTCTCTACAAAAAATAGAAAAATTAGTTGGGTGTGGTGGTACATTCCTGTTGTCCCAGCTACTCGGGAGGCTGAGGCAGGAGGATCACTGGAGCCCAGGAGTCTGAGGTTGCAGTGAGCTATGATGACACCACTGCACTCTGCCCCAGGCAACAGAGCCAGACCCTACCTCAGAAAAAAAAAAAAAGAAGTATGAGTGCTAATTATTATTTCTACTACCACCGCTAAATGGAGCAGGCTTCAGTTTTCTGGAACACTCACTCTTACGGAAACTTGCCGAGGGAGAAGAAGAGACTCGCACACTAGATGCACATATGGTTGGTCCACAGAGCATCCCTCATCCAGCAACCCCAGATCTGCCTCACATGCAAACAGAGACCTAGAGAAGGTGAGGCGCTTGCCCAGGTTGTACAGCATGTCAAAAGTGGAATAGCTCTTCCATCCCCAGTCCCAGGGTCCTGGCTTGGGCTGCCCTCGCTTTGCCCCTGCCCCAGAATCCCCAACCTGCTTGAGGGCCAAGCTGGTCCTTACCTCGTTCTCGTAGACCAGCAGCTGGGCCTGGCAGAGGAGCAGATATCGATCTTTCCAGAAACTCAGGAGGCCCCCACTGCTCTTCTTGACCCAGCCAGCCTTGTCCGCCGTCCTTGCTCCCTGAGGCTTCTCGCCCCCTTCCTTCACATCCTGTAAGACAGCACCAGGACATGCCCCATGGTCCCCAGGCCACACAAGGGATGCATCCCCGTGAAATCATCCTATGGGAGCTTCCCCACAACCGCCCCGGGCAGATAATCCTAACCCAACATCGGAAATAATAACAGTAATAATAGCAGCAGCCTCTTCATACTGGCCACCGTATTACATTTGACACACGTCGTTCATTGAATTCTTACTATTACCCTCCAAGGTGGTAGCATCATTGTCATGATGTCACAGCAAACTGAAGCTCAGAATGGAGAAATGACTTGCCAGTCTCCTGGCTAGAGGAGGACAGAGCCAGAATTCAAAGCGGGTCTCTCTGACCCCACGTTTTTCCCGCTCCCCCATTCTGCCTCCACGTGTTCATTCAACCAGTCAACAAATGTTGCACTGAGCGCTTACGTCAGGGAAGAATAAAAATAATAAAAGTAACGCAGTCTCTGCCCTCCTAGAGCTCACAGCAGGGGGAAGAGGAGCTGAACAAACATATACCCACACAGAAACCATTAACCCATGTGAAATGCTACGTGGGAAACAAACAGGGGGCAGGGAGAGGACAGCTGGTTCAGGTTGGGGTGGCCCAGGGAGGCCTCCTAGAACAGGGCTCAGAAGGACAGGGCGTCAGGAGGCTGCATGGCAATCTGCCTGTCTGCCCCACCCTTCCAGAGAACCCACTCTGCAGCCCCTGCTTCCTGCCCCAAAGCAGGATGCTCCTCTGCCCTCCTCCCTGCCCCAGGCCAGGACTTCAGGGCAGCTACCACAACTGGGGAGGGTTCCAGAAGGGCTCAACCACCCTTCTCCTGGACATGGGTAGCCACCCTGGAGCCTCAAGGCCAGCCACTGACATTCTGTGCCCCATTGATTACCTGCTTGGGTGGCTGGGCGCCAGGTACATGCCCAGCAGACAGGGTCGGGATTGGATTCACCTCTGGGTTCCCAGCACCCAGCCCTGTTCTTTTACATATAATGGGTGCTCAAAAAGTATCTATGAGGCCGGGCGTGGTGGCTCACACCTGTAATCCTAGCACTCTGGGAGGCCGAGGCAGGAGGATTGTTTGAGCTCAGGAGTTCGAAACCAGCCTGAGCAAGAGCGAGACCCCGTCTCTACTAAAAATAGAAAGAAATTAATCAAACAACTAAAAATACATAGAAAAAATTAGCCGAGCATGGTGGCGCATGCCTGTAGTCCCAGCTACTCGGGAGGCTGAGGCAGGAGGATCGCTTGAGCCCAGGAGTTTGAGGTTGCTGTGAGCTAGACTGATGCCACAGCAAGCAAGCTAGCCCAGGCAAAAGAGTGAGACTCTGTCTCAAAAAGAAAAAAAAAAGAAATATCTATGAAATGAAAATAAAAATACACCCAATTTGCCAACCACTGTGTTTCACTGACTGGTACCCAGAGTGGTGAGTGTGCAGGGGAGAGAGGAGAGCCAGTCAAGAGCATGACACGATCTAGAGGCTGCTAGAAGGAAATTAGCACTGACTAATTCTGACTACATTATAATTTACATAAAACTCAAGAAAGGGGCCCCAGTTAAAAGAGGCATGCCTCTCCCCAGGGATACCCTGTGGCCACAGCTGCCTTTGGAAGGACAAGCCCAGACAGATACAAGCGTGGTGAGCTGTCAGGAGCTGGGAAGGGCCTGGCTTCCCTGGTCTCTGTCACGACTGGGGAGTGTCAGCCTGGTTCCCTCTGTGGCCCCCGCTCCCTCTATGCACAGCACATGCTGGTGGTTGGGAGCCTGGGCTTTGCAGCCCCACTCGTGCAGACTGAGGCAAACCACTTCACCTCTCCAAGCCTCAGTTTCTTCATCTGTGAAATGGAGACATTAACAGCAGGCGTGGTAAGGAGTATAACTCCATGCGGGCAGAGATTTACTGCTATAGCCCCAGTGCCTAGACTACGTCTGGCACACAGTAAGTGCTCAATAAATGTTTATTGCTGAATAAAGATAAGGCACATAAAGCAGCTCCTAGGATACCCTAAACCTAGCATATGGTGGCTGTCATTATTGCTATGACACTATTTTGTCACTGCCGTCCCCTCAGGCTCACAGGGACCCTCTCCCTGGGCCGCACTCCCAGTTTAGAACAAGGCCTTTCTGGACTACAGCTGCTGGCCTCAGACCTCCAGGAGCTCCGGGAATATGGGGCACCCTCTCAGGATCTCCCCCTAACTCGTAGATGGCAAGAGAAATGGGGAAGTGGGATGGTCCCAAATGTTCTTCCCGGATACAGGAATGAGGAAGTAGGAGGCTGGCCAGTTATGAGCCACCCTGTCCAGGGGAAGAGGGACTTCAGGGCCCTTTGACAACAACAGAGAGGCTCTCCCATCCTATCGTGTACCCAACTCCCACTCCCCACATCACTACTGAGACCCTGTGTTCAGCCTGTGGGCTATGTGACCCCCAGGGGCCTAATCCCTCAGTGACGCCCCCCTGCAGGCTGTCACAGGCCCAGGACTGGAAGGGGAGAACTGGGAAATGGGAAATCCCACCTTGCATTTCACACTCACACCCCCACCCACAGCTACAGCACTGTGGCCGCCTCCCAGGCCCTCCACGCCCAGACGGGCAGACCACACTCTTGGTCTCTCATGAACAAGGCAGTGGGGGTTGTGGAGGGTGAAGCTGCTACCCCCAACTCTGAGCTCCAAGCTTGCCTCCTGCTTTTCAGGGGGCCCACCCACCACCCCATGGGATCCCACACCCCTTTCTAAACTCCCTCCACTTGTGACCTCCCCTGAAAACTTCCTACCAGCTGGAAGCTTCCCAGGGGCAAGGCTGGAACCTGTGCCTAGATCACTGTCACCTCTGGGCCAGGTGTTGCACACCATGACTGAATTAGCTAGGGAAGCAAGTCCAGGACCTCGAAGGATGGGTGGGACAGGACTGGGCGGGATAATACTTTGGGATGGAAGAAGGGACAGCCAAGGGGCTGCAGATGGTGTGAACCAAAGCCCAGCCACGGCAGCAGCCACCCAGGGGAGGCCTGGCTGGAGGCCAGGGTCCTACTTGCCTCCAGCCTCCACTCAGCCCCCCTCCCTGGCCCTCAGACCCCTCCCTCCAGGGGGCCTGGCTATGCCCCAGTAAGTTTTAATAAGGGGCCCCTCCCCTTGGCAGGGTTCACAGGAGAGGTTTTGTCCTGCTCAGCCCAGTTTCTCAGCCTTCTCTCCTCATTAACCAGCTGACCACTGTTCTTCCTGTCTCACCCTCTCCCCGCCCATCCATCCTCACCGGCCCTTTCCTGCCCACTGCGAGCAGCTCCTGTGGCACCCCGAGCACCAGCCTGGCTCCCCTTTGCCTGACATAGAGGGCCTCTGGGTCACTCATTTAAAAAAAAAAACCGACCTTGACCCTGTGCACAGAAAGGACAAATGGAAAGCCATAATACAGGTTATGTCAAAGAGACAGAGACCAGCAGAAGAAACCTTGTTGGCACCTCACATCACAGGCAGCTTATGATGACGTTTGCCCTTTGACTAAACCCAAAGGTCCTGGGACCAAACTCTATTAAGAACCCACCGTGTCAGAGCCCTGTGATGGGGCATTCAGAGAGAGGATACACAGGCTCTGCCCTGGGGGAACTTCCAGTCTTTTGGGGGCCACACAGACCCTGCATAAGGGAAGTCCCCAGTCAGGGGCTGGGGGGCATCTCCTGCTTGACAGGGCACTTACCCGGGATCCCACACTTAACCCGGATCCACCGTTCCTAGCTCTTGGGTGGGGTAAGGGCTTGGGGTTAGCGGGAGACCCTTGCAGAAGGCAGGGTTTGCGTGGGGCTCTGAGGAGCGGAAGAGACGCATGCGTTGGCGCAGAGAAGGCAAGGCACAAACAGGTGCCAGAGACCCTGCACTCTCAACCCCTTCACTACACACAGAAACGGAGAGTACAGCCCAGAAGGGCAAGAGACGAGCCCAGCGTCACAAACCCAGGCATGGGACAGGACACTGCCCTGTTCTTGATGGCTGAGGGCAAGTGGGCAGCTCAGAGGCAACAGAGGCTGAGCCAGAGAAAGACCTGGCAGGGGAAGGGGGCAGAGTCCCAGGGCAGAGATGGGAAAATCTGGGGCCAGGATTGCCAGCCTTACCCCAACGGCAGCAACAACACCCCCACTGACACCCGCAGTTCCAAAGCTTTGCACAGACATCATCACATTTCTGGATCACCCACCCCTCTCATTTTACAGATGGAGAAACTGAGGCCCAGAGAACACAGCTGGGCAGGTGCCCAGTGCCCAGACCAGCACTTCTTCACCAAGCCTCAGCCTGACAGGGACACCAGCCCACTGTACAGAGGAGGTCACTGAGGCTGGAGGGTCTTGGTCCAGTGCGACTGGGGCACAGGGAATAAGCTCAAAGCCGGCAGGAGTGCTGAAAGCAGCCATGTGAAAGGGAGGTGATGAAGACGGCCGGGGGTCATGGGGCAGAGCAGGTGACTATGATCTAAGAGGTGGTTTAGAGAAACAAAGATGGGCACTGAGGCCCAGTGAAACAAGAGGAAGCTACTGGGAGAAGAAGTGGGAGGAAAACAGACTTAGGGATGCCAAAGGGGAGGTAGCGGATAGGGGGCCCCTGGCTGTGAGGGTGAGGCTTGCAGGGGTTGGGGGCAGTAATGTTAGAGATTCAGGACCAAGGGGAGCACAGAGCTAGGCCAGGCCCAGGAGATCCCCAGAGAATATTCCTTAATTGGGGGCCAGAGCAGACCCATATCCTCTGGGAGAAGGGGAGAGGCCCTGGCCAGAGAGCCCAGCCATCGCAGTGGGGGCCTGGGGCAGACAGCAGCCCCACCTTGACAGCAAGAAAGAAACCACAGCAAATCACCGTGGCCTGACTGTGCCCCCTACCTCCACCCACTCTGACAGAAGGGGCCACAGTCACACCGTCAGGCCCAGGGGAGGAGGCCAGGCCCTATATTTTACAGAAGAGGAAATGAAGGCTGAGAGGGGAAGTGACTTATCTACCACCCCACAGAAATGCAGGGCCTGGCCTGGAGGGCACCCTGACAGACAGCCTAGCTGCTCCTAACAGTGGCCTTGGGAAGTAGGGAGTTTGGCACTGATGGGGGGGCAGTGAGGTGGACACAGGCAGCCTGGTCCACTCAGGGCTCCCCAGCTGGCCAGGGCTGCCCCAAGAGAGAAAGCTTCATCTTTCCTCCCCACCCATCCAAGCGAAGACATCCCTTCCCCTGGGCTGGGAGGGGCAGAAGCTGGGACCCCTTTCGGGTAAGAAGCAAATTCATCTCCCTCTAGACCCAGCAGGCCCCTCTTTCTAACTTATTCATTCCATAGGCATACATTAAGTGCTTGCTGTATGCTGGATCTTTGGATGATGGGGCTGCTGGGAGAACTGAGTTTGCAAGCAAAGGGCAGGGGTCAGAGAGCCTGACTCCACCCCAGACTAAGAGTGTCCTAAGGGAGTAGAAGGAGGCTCAAGGGGCACTGCTGGTCCAGCCCTCAGCTCCTTCTGGGAGTTAGCCCTCCCAGGGACGTGGGCAAGGCAGAGGCCCAGATCGGGCCCTGGGCGGGCTGACTCCTAGGTTAAAGCACACTCAGATAGACGTGGAGCAGGGGAGAGGGTGGAGGGAAGAAGATTCAAAAAGACTTATACAAGGGAGAAAAAAGCAACTTCTTCAGTCCTCCTGCCACCAAGGCATGGTCACTGCCTCAGATTCCTTGAGACAGGGACCCCAGAACCTGCAGAACCCCTCCCAACACACACACACACACACACACACACACACACACACACACACACAGTCTGTCCCCTCAGGATCAGACCTGACAGGCACGGGGAGTCCGCGGTAACCAGGGTGCGAACACAGCAGCCCAGGCCACTCCCAACAAGTCATCAAACTCGACGGAGCCTCAGTCTCCCTGTCAATCCAATGGGAACAACAAAAAACACGATGCCCCACAGCTGGTGACAAAAGCCAAAGAGATACCGAAGGAGGACGCGTCTTCGAAGTGCCCGATCTGGATTCCTGCCCCAGCCCCCGCCCCATCTGCCTAGGCTCTGCCTGGGGTACAGGGGCGAGGGTCCCCAGATCGGCGAGATGGGCGGGACTGAGGCGAGCAGGAACGAGGGCCTGAGCCCAGGACCCCAAACCCCGTGAGGGGCTCGAAGACCCCAGCCCCGCCCCCGCGCCGGGCCCTGCCCTCACCTCCTCCTCCATGGCGAGTCCCCCGCGGTCCTGCAGCTCCGCCGCTCACTCCCGGCGCCGCGCGGGTCGGCCACCTTCATCGACGCCCGGCCGGGCGGCGGCTCTCTGCGATCTGTCCCGCGGGCCTC